TGCTTCCATTGCCGAGATACAGGGCGCTCATATTATAAGGTAAGGTTATAAAACCACCTTTTAAGATCATTTTAGTGAAAGTTTCATGTTCCTATCTCATATAATTTAAGAACAATGATGAATAAATCATTTTCGAGCAAAATTTAAATGGACGGCTGAATATATTACCGCCGGAGAGACGGCCGCGGACTTTAAAAGACCCCGCGAAAGGGTTAAGCAATGAAGAGATTAAAACTGCTATTGCAGACTGCACCATATTGGGTTCAGCTGGTCCAGGAGAGGGTTTACCTCTTGTAGTAACAACATCTGACTGAATTTGATTTGTTTCATTTTGGTCTGTCACACTAACAATATTATAAAAGATAAAACAACTCCATCCAGTGTGACTGTAACAGTGGTTTCCAAAGAGTATCGATGTCCCTCTGATGATGGTCTATAGGGACCGAAACATGTAAGGGTAGTTACTATAGGATTCTGACGATGGTGTATAACACACAGAGATATTGGGTTTTCGGACTTTATCCATCATCCTGGTTTTCAAGATAACTAAGAAAAACATGACGTTTCGGAAACTGGATCTGTTTCCATCCTTAGGTGAGGGAAAAACACCTATTCTGTTGGGTCCTTTAGAAAGAGCTAGCCAGCTAAGGGACACAACAGAACAGGTGTTTTTCCCTCAACTGAGGATGGAAACAGATCCAGTTTCTGAAACGTCGTGTTTTTCTTTGTTATCTTAAAAACCAGGACGATGGATAAAGTCCGAAACCCCGATATCTCTACATGTAAGGGTGTTAAGAATTGAAGCAGTAAAAACTTCAACAGTCATACTGGATGGAGGTATTTTATCTTTTATAACATCTGACTGACTTTACAAATACTTACTTACCTCCATACAATGCAAAAGTTGGCTTCATTGTTCTAGCCTGTGACCACAAAATTCCAGGTACAACACAATGAATCACACAGCCATGATGAAGTAATGTCACAGAATATGCAAAATGAACAGTGGTGGATGATTCTTCCAGATTCCGTACCTCAGTCATTGGTGGCTTCACAGGCTGAAATGGCATAAGCAATATTCATTTTATCACCTCTGCGCCTAGTTACTGGCTGTTTATTTCTTTCTTATTGATAACCATAATCTTCTTTCAATGTGTTGGTCCTGAACAAGTTCTGATCTGCTATCGCCGTTAAGAAAAAGCATATTTTACACAGTGCATGGAAATTAGACCATATACCAGTTTCAGTATATTGACATATGGCTTCTTCTAGTGCTTTTCTACAACTAGACTTGATAGTTACAATTCCCTGTACAATTAAAGTACCACTATTTTTGGCACACAACTTATGTAAAAGAGTGTGTGAACTATGTCAGTAAATATGAGAAGGTAATAAGTATGGTGAATTTAAATTTGACCCAAAACAGCTTATTCCAAAAACATAAGTGTCTGTTTTCTACTGTAATTCTCCCTTCCCAGACATACTAATTACAGTGAATGACAAGTTTTCCAATTCCATCAAAACACTTCTGTGCTCTAGGATAACTCATATATTTAGGGAACTTTGATTTCTATCTAAGTTATTGGCTCTACAGTGTCATGAAGAAGATCAAGGTGGGAAGAATTTGTCACTGTTCTCTGTCTTGATGGAAGTTCACCCTACATTGTCAAAAGGGCAGCACATGGTTGAGTTTTCAGTTTTTTGGGCTGTGAATAATAAGTGAGTGTCCACTGCACGATTTGCATCTCATTCCGTGGTACAAAATATTGTGACCATGTTTTGCCTGCATTAACAATGAAGTTCATTACTACATCTCCTTCATTTCCATGCTAGTGTAACATCTGCTGAAATGAATAATGTCTGTGACTGCCCAGCCAACTGCACTGCAATTCCCTCATTTGTCATGCAGTATAGCTAACTTTATATACAGAAATTCAGAGTATATAGTCAGACATGCAGCAATGAGGAATGGAGTAATATGTACATATTTAGTGTAATCCAGTTCAAATAACTCTGCCATACTAAGTGCAAATCCATTTTCAGAAGGAAGTCAACAAGTATTATATACTAGAGACTGGAAAAACATTAATCATAGGAGTGGGGAAAGAACATCAGTTCTGTCTTGCTACTTCATGGTTTTACTTGAAATTACCTACATGGGTAATGGTTCTAGTGCCATGAATTTTATGCACTGGTAGAAATCAGTAGTGTCATAGAGATCACAAATTTCAGTGTGCATCTCCATGTTACAAGAAAAATAAGTAAAACTCAACTGATATGCAGAGAAAGAGTATAAATTAAAAAAATAAAATAATAAATAAAATACAGCATGAAACAGAATAGATTACTCCATATTTCGCCTACCAGAAATCCTCTTCCTGTGTTTGAAATTTCAGTGGAAACAACTGTTTTCTTTCCAAAATTCTTTAAAGATAAGTGAACACCAATTCTAGTTTCACATGTCCATTCTTCTTATTCCTGAGGTAGGGTGAAGCTGAGTCTCCACATACTTAGGCCTTCAAATGACTCACTGTACCAGACACAGATAATAGATGAGAGAAATGTACTATCTGGTGGAATGAGAATTGGCAGAGAACACTACGTATTCAAATAGTACCTGCCCAAGTGCTACTCTGACTGCCACAAATTCCAAATAAATTGACTTGGGATTGAATTCAAACATCTACAAAAGTGTGCTCATTAGAAATAATTTCACCAATTTATCTATGAAATTCTTTTTATTTCAAGACTGAAAGACCTAGTGCTATTTTTACACAAACAAAACAGTGCAGTGTTCAATGTGCACCACTTCAAAAAGTAACCTGTGCTTATACCTGAATGAAAAAATTGAGACATGATATGGTGTGTAGTTGTGGGAGCTGTTTCACAACTCCAGTACTCTGGCCTCTTTGCCTTGGTTCTCGTTATACTGTTCAGAATCCATAATCTGTAGGCGTTTCTATCAGTATGGTGGTTCCATAAAATACTGAAGACATGGCAACAATGTAATGAAGTAAGAGCAAAGTTGTGTTGTTATCACATCACCAATGGTTCCATTTTTTCCAGAATTGTTTGGTGGGCATTCTGTGTGTTCATAAGTTCATGAAAAGTGTAAATTCACTCCATAGCAGGAATCGTCTAAGAAAGTTTTCACCTTCTTGTTATATTTCTTCATAACCTATATATGTAAGTTTAAAGTGTGACCAGATATTCAGTTTACCTGATACAAGTAATGGTGGCAGATGCAAACAACACCCTTAGTATCACATACCACCTGCAGATCAAGTGAACAGTCGTGTACTCGCAGTGGGATAGGATCATCCTCATATCCACCACATGGCACTGAAGTTTTTGAAAGTTGTGGCAGATTTAATGGGATATTGAGCTACAAATAAATAAAAATATAAGGGGTTTATATACTATAACACTTACTCCTACAATTAAATTTATGCAATATTCAATACCCATATAACAAGAGAACAAATGACAAGAATTTCTTTTAGAAACTCTGATAATATCTTGCCAAAATACACTTATATAAGATATTTCTTCCATTAAACTTCTTTTTTCTAAAGATGAGAATATTTGACACGAGATAACAGAAAACTATTACTCATGGTAAGAAATCTTAAAATTCAATACCGGAAGTCATGAGTAACTTTCTTTTGCATGCAACCTGGGAACAGCAGACAAACGAGAGTATGGTGGTAGGTGGAACCAGCTGTGTTAACCTTGAGTGTCTTGTGACATCAATAGCTTGCATCGCGTGACCAGTATAACTCCTAACAAAATGGCCAACAACCATATGTTGTTTCGCCAGCGTGCTGTCATCAAATTTCTTGTGAAAGAGGAAATCCCTGCTGCAGAAATTCACCAGAGACTTCAGCATGCTTATGGAAGTGTGTGCATGGGTGCGAGCAGTGTTCGAAGATGGGTAAAACATTTTAAAGATGGGAACACCAGCATCGAAGATGAGCCTCGGAGCAGTCGTCCTCGAACAGCCTCAACTGAACGCAACAAGGAAAGAGTGGATGAGATCATTCAAGATGACAGGCGTGTGACTGTGGACACATTAGCCCCCAAACTTGGAATATGGCACAGTGCAGTACAGGAGATGATTGAAAGCTTGGGCTATAGGAACGTTTGTGCTCGTTGGGTCCTGCAGTTATTGACTGAAGACCACAAAGGTCAGCGAAAAGCCATCACCTCAAAACTGCTGCAGAGATATTGACATGAAGGCGATTTTTTGCTCTGTATTGTGACAGGTGACGACAGCTGGTTTCACCATTTTGAGCCTGAAATGAAACGGCAGAGTATGGAATGGCACCATTTGCATTCTCCATCAAAAAAGAAGGCAAAGACAGTGCCATCAGCTGTGAAGGTGATGGGCACAGTCTTCTTGGATGCAGAGGGCATTATTCTGGCCGAATTTCTGGAACCTGGGCAAACCATCAATGGTGCTCGCTATGTCCAGATGCTGCACAAGCTCTGTCGTGCTTGCGCGATAAACGTCCAGGACAAAACATCATCATCCTGCATGACAACGCTCACCTCCATGTCGCTCGCCTCACATTGGAAGCAACTGTAAAGATGGGGTGAGAAGTTCTTCCACACCCCACCTATAGCCCTGATCTGGCACCCTCCGACTACCATCTTTTCGGATTTGTGAAGGATCAGCTGCGTGAACAAGGTTTTGAGACAAGGGAGGCAATTCAGAAAGCAGCGTGTCAGTGTCTTCGGATGGCTGGAACGGAATTTTACAGAAGGGGCATTTTCAAACTCCCAGAACAGTGGGAGAAATGTGTACAAAGAAGTGGTGATTATGTGGAAAAATAAAGAAAGGTCTGTTGATTGAGGTGGTGTATTTGGTTTGTCAATAATAAAGCATGTTACTTTACAAAAAACTGTTGCTCATGACTTTCAGTACGACCCTCGTAAATGTGAATAAATCTCACTCTCAGAAGAGTTGCTACATGTATAACAACAATAAAACACTATCCCTGTAAGAGGCTGCGGAGGGCCATAGGGCTGTGAGATGTCAAGGCTCCCACATTTTCTCTAGACAATTGGCTCACAGATGGCGCTAAGGTTGTCAGCCTTGCGTACCAGCCACCCTTTGCCCACCAGAAAGATTCCTGGTACTCATTTCTGCTAGAGGCCTAGTCGACCCCAGGGCCACAGTGCAGCTGGAAGGATTAGGTAAATTGAGAAAATCCACCTCATTGGGACTTGAACCCGTGACCTTCCTGCTTGCAGCATTAGTGCCTTAAAGGAGTCTCTCCTATCTCACTCCTTCTACTCTGTGGAAGAATTTACTTTAATAAAAAATTCTCAATTATAAATACATGTATGTAATAATGGGATGGTTCTTTCATATAATTATTTTGGTGGAAGTCTATATTATAAGAGATGTCTGTAAACATACAAATAACTGTTACAATTTATATTTATATCTATATTTGTACTGGAAACAACTACTGAATTTGTGTTATCACATGTTTTATATCCTTGGCTTAGGCCTACAAAGGATCTATGAAATGTAAAATATCTTATTCTATTCATCAAGATAGATGAGCTAAAACTTATTCCTTAGTAATCTTCAGATAACCCCTGCCCATATCTTATTCTATTCATCAAGATAGATGAGCTAAAACTTATTCCTTAGTAATCTTCAGATAACCCCTGCCCATGACTGAATGCTCTTTAAAACTGCTGATAATCACTTACTTAAATAATTTATTTCTCTTCTTTCAGATATTCACAAATGTACATGGAAACAGAGACCGTCACAGCATTCTGACAATTCAAAATTTAACCTTTAACACCTTACAATAAGATCATGACAGTAAGCTCTAACTATAAGTATTAAAAACCTTATGACACCTCCCTGCTCCATAATGAATATACAAGATACATACGTGGTACCGAAAGTCATGAGCAACTTTTTCTTGCATGCAATCTGGGAACAGCAGATGAAAGAGAGTATGGTGGTAGGTGGAACCAGCTGTTGTTTTAACCTTGAGTGTCACATGACCAGTATCACTCCTAACAAAATGGCTGACAACCATATGTTGTTTCACCAGCATGCTGTCATCAAATTTTTTGTGAAAGAGGAAATCTCTGTTGCAGAAATTCACCAGAGACTTCAGCTTGCTTATGGATGTGTGTGCATGGGTGCGAGCAGTGTTAGAAGATGGGTGAAACATTTTAAAGATGGGAACACCAGGATCGAAGATAAGCCTTGGAGCGGTCATCCTTGAACAGCCTCAACTGAACGCAAGAAGGAAAGAGTGGATGAGATCATTCAAGATGACAGGTGTGTGACTGTGGACACAATAGCCCCAAAACTTGGAATAAGGCACAGTGCAGTACAGGAGATGATTGAAAGCTTGGGCTGTAGGAAAGTTTGTGCTCGTTGGGTCCCGCGGTTATTGACTGAAGACCACAAAGGTCAGCAAAAAGCCATCACCTCAGAACTGTTGCAGAGATATTGACACGAAGGTGATAATTTTTTTGCTCTGTATTGTGACATGTGACGAAAGCTGGTTTCATCATTTCGAGGCTGAAATGAAACGGCAGAGTATGGAATGGTACCATTTGCATTCTCCATCAAAAAAGAAGGCAAAGACAGTGCCATCAGCTGTGAAGGTGATGGGCACAGTCTTCTGGGATGCAGAGGGGTTTATTCTGGCCGAATTCCTGGAACCTGGGCAAACCATCAATGCTGCTTGTTATGTCCAGATGCTGCACAAGCATCATCGTACATTGCGCGATAAACACCCGGGATGAAACATCATCCTGCATGACAATGCTCGCCCCACGCCGCTCGCCTCACATTTGAAGCAACTGTAAAGATGGGGTGGGAAGTTCTTCCACACCCCTCCTATAGCCCTGATCTGGCACCCTCTGACTACCATCTTTTCAGATTTGTGAAGGATCAGCTGCGTGGACAACATTTTGAGACAAGGGAGGCAATTCAGAAAGCAGTGCGTCAGTGTCTTCTGATGGCTGGAACGGAATTTTACAGAAGGGGAATTTTCAAACTCCCAGAACGCTGGGAGAAATGTGTACAAAGAAGTGGCGATTATGTGGAAAAATAAAGAAAGGTCTGTAGATTGAGGTGGTGTATTTGGTTTGTCAATAATAAAACATGTTACTTTACAAAAGATTGTTGCTCATGACTTTCAGTATGACCCTCGTAATTGTTGCGTACAGATTTTAGAAGCATTCTATGTACCGGAAGAAGGGCAACTACATTTATGTACATAATTGCAGTAAACCCTCATTATAACAAAATAATATGGAGGACAGGGTGTTTATTATTGATGACATCTGCTATAACCAAGTGGAACTACATTACAGGATACACAGCCAATACTCCCAGTAAATATAGACACACAATGTGATTACATGAATGTTCTTACATTGGGATTCTTTTTTATTTTAAATAGTTTTCTAACTACAAGACTTTCTTAGTTCCTCAGCCTCTCTAAAAATTCACAACTGTAACCAGTAAGATTTTGCCCATTATATTCATATCCATTATAATGAGATTATACTGTGTTCATTTCATACCACAGTCTCATGTGGCATATCATCATGAAATTGGAGGCAAGATAAAGTTGGAGACAGTTCTTCTTCTCTCCCTTCCTCTGGTTCTTCTCCCTCAACACTAAGTTGAGTTTTACGGTAATGAATATAATATAGTGACTGATTTATAGGATCCCACTGTGCCCATGAAAATTCCCGAACCACCGACTCAGTGTTCAAGCAACCACATAACTCCTGAAATAAAAGCATTAGTATAACAAGCTTGCACTGGTTAACACTGGCTTCTTTTTACACTCACAGCAAAAAATATTTTATTTATAACAAACAGAAGCCAATGGTCATATTCTTACTTTAAATATTAAACATTTTCTTGCAGTCAAAATCACACTAACTGTTTCACTCATCATGTATTACATTTGAGTAGAGACTGTAGAAGGAAATCAATTCTTACATACTACAATTTTAACTGCCATAAGTTTCGTGTATGCATAGGAGTATGTTAAAAACCTGAAGGTGTGTATAAATTATCTTCTATTTTAAATTAATTCTTGTTCTCTTAGGCTCACTTCCAGGCCCAAAGACTGAAAAGTAAATCTTTCCTTGTGTCACCATCAGTAGTGTTAAAGTATTCCCATGGAAATGGGAAATAATGTTGTGAACTTATCATACTTTGCTGGATGGAAAGTACTCTATATTACAAGATCAAAAAAGTCTTATCTCACATTTAGACGGTCTATAGTTTGAAGCAAGTACACCATCTGCAGAATATTAATTGCATGTAGCCTCTGAATTGCAGTTCATTATTGTGTACTTAGCATCTGACTGATGGGAAATACTTCATTTGTTGGAACACTAAGCAGTACAATGTGAAAAGCTGTAGCCAAGCAGGTGTTGAACCCACATCTTCTGTACATTACATAGGTGCTATGATCATTTCTCATTCATATACATATTGTTCTTGTGTGAATAAAGTAGTCAATAAAAACAACAACATGGTACCTATCTTGTATGAATTTATTAATACATTTTCTAGATCAGATATAAATACACAGTTTTCATCAAATTATATCTTTTTCATAATTACAGATCAGTGTTCCTTCACTGCAAAGAAAAGAATGCTACAAATTTCGTTCTTTTGTAATGTAATCATTTTCAGTAAGTCCTAAAGTAAACATACCATCTCACAGCTTCCATTCTTTTTCAGATGAACTTGATTTAGTGAGATAGCTGAAACAAAGAAGTAATGATGAAAATATGTAATAAATACTACAACAAAATCTGCAGTAACTTTAGAGGAAAGCTGTCAGGAATTATAGGAGTAACATCTTCACAATGCATAAGCTGTAAATTACTGTACATGAAGTCATGCTGAGCTAAGCAATCATTTTTAGCTGTGGTTCTCAGAAGTGAAAAGGGTCTGGCAGTCCAAGTATACTTCTCACTCTAACAATTTCTGAACCAATAAAGATATTTAAAAAACTCAGTACTAAAGCCAAGGTATCAGGGCCCACCCAAAATTATGAAGTAATTTCTATCATAAGTTATAGAGAGCATAATAGGAGTAATTATATGTGAAACATTCCATCTTTATTGTACCTTAATAATGTGCGAATTATTTTACACAGGCACAGAAAATTTTGAGTGGACAGAGATTATGAATATACTTACATATTTTGTATAAAACATAGTTTACATGCCAATGAATACAAACAAAGCAAGCTCAAGAACTTAAAGTACCTGGGGTTTACCAAAAGATAATAATAAGAAAAGACATTTAAGAAATTACAACTTTTAATGCAGATTCACAAATGGACATGCCACGATCAATGAATCAATTGTCATAAAACTGTTAATGCAGGCTAAAACAAGAGAGAATATTAAATGCACTTACATTCTTGATGTATAAATAAAAGGAACTTTTCATTGGAAATACAATCTTTCTTTCTGTACAGGAATTGAATCATAATCTGCCGGGATCTTTCAATTCCAAAATCCTTTGGTTCTCTCTGTTCTTCTGGCAAACTTGCATCCAATGTAAAAACTTTATAAACCTCTACAGAAACTACACCTGATGAATCCATTGATGTCCTTTTGTCTGCTGTTTCATATGAAGATGGATATTTTTTCTCTTTTGTTATAAAACCTATGAATGAGAAAAATATAAGTTTCTTTTCGATAACTGACTTCATCCACAATTACAACCATTTTCAAGCTGCATTAACTTCAGAAGTAAAATTGTTACTTGTAACAATCTGTTGATTCTGAAGCATAAAAATAAAAACAAGCATGCAAATAGCTAACCTGACCACAAAGAAGAACCAGACAACCTACGAGAGAAAGCCAGCTGGCAGGTGGTAGAGAGTTTCCTGGGGCCTTGGACATCACTTGATTATGGGTCTAAATGGGATCAGGTCAGGGCTGTGCTGTCCCTGGCACAGAGGCAGAAGGCACCTGGATGGTCCACACCATAAATGCTTGAGGGGAGGGGGCTTTCTCTCCTTGCTTTTAGGAGCTCTGGTATTGGTGCTTTTGCTTCTCTGCTATCATGGACAGGCAGTCTACTACCCCTAAGGGGCTCTTGTTAGTGTCTCCTGAGGGCAAGACTGTAAGAGGTTTCTTGATAGGGAAGATTAATCAGGCTACAAAGAAGAATTTGGCAGGCCAGATAGGGGAATGCTCTTCTCACAGAACTGAGGCCTTGGCTGGAGCTCAGTTATGGGTCCAGCTAGGACCTGTCGTGGGACGCTACTGTCCCTGTCAATGAACGAAATCTGGTGTATGACTGACCACTCACCCACATCTAATGTTGAGGTTAAGAATGTGTAAAATCCTATGGCTCCTTATGTCTGCATGGCATAATGCTTTATTAAGCACAGGGAAGATTTTACCCTTACGTTTCCTAGGCCAGATGCTTAATCAAAGACACTTACATCATCAAAATGCAACATTAAATTCAGAAGTATTCATTTACTTACAAAAAAAATCTGCATTTATTAAATTATGAAAATATATTAGAACTTAATGGCTTGAAACTTTTATGATATATAGGGAAGCCAGAGAGTATTTTAGTATAAATATAATTCAACTTGAATCATAAATCACATATTGTAAAACTTAACACACATCATATTTAAAAAAATAATAAAACCCGAAATTTATGCGCCCTTGAAAATATAAGTGAAACAAGGAGCAATGAAGTCATAACAACATACTGTAAAACTTTTGTCTTTTGAATCTCTGTGTAGCAAACCTCTTCATATAAAAAATTAAGAATACAACACTAGCTTGTATCTAAAGAAACCCCTTATAACGAAGTCAGAAATGTATTTCTCCTGAGCTCTACTGCATAGAGGTTTTAGTGTGTACATTTTTATGACCATTTTTCATTTGTGACTGAAAATGTACGTTTAATGCCAATTTCTCATTTGTGTCTGACAGTCACTCCTAAGAAAGTATGCTATAGGGTTCCAAGATACCCCGTTTTCCCCGGATTCTTCCGTTTTTTCAACAAAATTTTGTTCCTCCATTTATTGTTTACCCGGAGTGGTTAATTCTCCGTTTTTTTATTTAAGTCCATTGCGAATTATATTTCATGGGTTAAATATTATCATAAAATTTCTGTAATCCTTGGAAAATGACAGTGTTATAGTTTCTTTTGTTATGTTGCATTTTGTGAATGTTGGCAACACTTGAGGTTCTAAACCAAAGCAGAGGTTGTTGGTGATAGTGTATTTTTAATCCGTTCAATCTTCGCTAGAAAGTCAGTGTCAAATTAGCAAAAATGTTTGAGGGCGAAGAAGATCCATCAAAGACTCCTCCAAGGAAGAAGTTGAAATTCCAGGCCAAACATAATCAAATATATTGTAACGCGTTCTGTTACTGAAGACGCCGTTTGGATTGTTAATTGGTTTATCTAACAACCTACCAGTCTCAGCTACAATTAATTACAACACTGTTGCGGGGTTTCACACTCTGTAACCCTATTCGCAATAATCAACTCACTCTGTTCCTCAATAGTCTACACGTATTAATTACAACACGGGAGCTATACAAGTGTCACTGTATCACACACTCCCAATTATTACTCGGTTATCACAAACTATCACCAATTATCACACACGCATCTGGTTCTTCTTTCTGCGACAGCTGCTATATTCCAACTCAACTCGTAGGCTGCTGCCTTGAGAACTCACTTCGTAGGCTGCTACACTTTAACTGCCTTCAGCGGCTGTGTAGTTCCCTTATATAGTCGCAGTGTTTGCCTGTTACATAATGGGTACCGCTGGTGCCTGACGCCGTGTCGACACTGGCGTTGCGTGTCTCGTCACAGTAGGAAGTGGTGCCATGTAGCCTGGGGGGGTGGCTATGTCACTGTGGCCAGAGCTGCCACGTCACTGCTGGGGAGGGAGGGGGTGTCCTCCATTGCGCAACATGTCACAATATCTTAAGAAATGGGAAGATATGTTTTCGTGGGTTAAGCCGGGACTAGACGAGAACTGGACATTCTGTACATTGTGTAGGAAGGATTTTAGTATTTCTCACAGTGGACAAAGTGACCTGAGGCAACATGCACAATACAAGGGACATAAAATTAAGGAAAAATGTAATTCTGGAAGTTCAAATAAACTTTCAAAATCCTTTGTTAATTTAAACAACAAAGAAGAATATGACAACAGCACCGCGTGTGAACTTGGTTTAGTGTATCATGCCGTGAAACATAACTTAAGTTATTCCAGTCTGGACTGTGGAAATGAACTTGTGTCCCATATTTTCAGTGATTCTGCGATTGCTTCCAAACTTTCACGTGGACACACTAAAGCGGAAATGATAGTGAAGTACATTCTTGCTCCTAAAAGTGTAAATAACTTTGTGTCTATTTTAAGATGTCCAGAAAATACTTCAAAATTTTTTTCATTGGCTACCGATGCATCAAACAGAAGCAATCGAAAAATGTTCCGTTTGCATCTGGTACTTCAACCCTTTAAAGGGAGTGCAGAATAAACTTCTAGATTTTGTTGAAAGTGCTGAGGAAACGTCTATGGCAATTACTGGTTTTGTGCTGCAGAGCTTAGAAAAGCACAACTTGGATGTAAATTATGTATCTTCTTATTGTGCAGACAATGCCAATGTGAACTATGGAAAAACACATTCTGTATATCAGTTGCTGCGAAGTAAAAACCCAAATTTACTGAAAGCTGATTGCTCTAATCATGTCATACATAACACAATTAAGTTTTCAATTGACAGATTAGATGTTGGTGTTGAAAGTGTAGTCTTAAAGATATGTAATCACTTCTCTGTTTCTGCCAAAAGAAGAGAAGAGTTAAAAATCATTCTTTGAATTTCTGAATTTGGAGTGGACTGAGATTTTGAGGCATGTTCCAACTAGGTGGCTGTCATTAACACCAGCCATTTCTCGACTGCTTCAGAACTGGGAAGCAATGAAAAGTTACTTCAATAGTATTCCCAACTGTCCAAAATTATTATCTAACATTTTCATGAAAGATGACCCAGAGGAAGCAGTGTTGCCTGAAATCTACTTTAATTTCTTAAGTAATATTGGAAGTCAGCTGGAAATGGTAGATAAAACACTGGAAAGGTCTGACTTAAGTGTACTAGAGACTTACAAACAAATGAAACTTCTCAGTTCTAAAATCCAGCAGAGAAGGAAAGACAACTTTTTTGGTAGCAAAGCAAAAGAACTCATTAATGGATTGTCTATGCCATTACAGAAAAAGGCTCCTGAACAGCTTTTATAGCAATATGCTTCAGTGTCTACAAAAAATATATGATGTGACAGATGACAATCCCTATGCATCCCTGGCAGCATTTTCTCTACAGGAAGGGATTGAGTTCAAAGATTTTGAAAAAGCCATAGAAGTGTTTCAGCTAAGTGAAAATGATTGCATTGATGACCTGTACGAGGAGTTCAAAAGCCATCGAGATTACCTCTGCAACAGTGTGAACAGGTATGGTGATTATGTAGCAAACTGGCTTACATTTTTTTCTTCAGTACCTGAGCATGATGTACCAAATATTTCCAAAGTGGTAGGATTTTTGTTTAGCATCCCTGGCTCAAATGCTTTGGTGGAGCGAATCTTTTCATTCATGAAAAGTAAGTGGAGTGACACAAGAAACAGATGCTCAACAGATTTAATTAAGGCAGAACTCCAGGTGACAGTGAACTATGAAAGCAAGTCCTGTTCAGAATTTTATAAATTTTCAAAGGGTGATGTTCAATTATTAAAAAGTGCTAAGAGTTCAGTGAAATACAATTAACAGAATCTGATCGACCAGCCCTTGAAAGTTATAAATATGTAGTATTTAATATTTGTGTGTTTACAAATGTGTGCTAGGTAATATTCTGTGCATTCTATAAATATGTAATAGGGCTACGTAATATTTGTTTTGTTCTATAAATATGTAGTAGGCCTACGTAATACAGATGTGTAGTAGCATTTTGTAAGTTATGTAGTATGTTGATTATGTATATTTTATACCCTATGAGTTGTGAAAAATGTCATTATAAACAAGCAACGAGACATCACTCCTTTTTTTCTTTTACAAAATCTGGCAACCCTAGTATGCTAGCACATACTTTCTACACAGTATTCATCAATAAAAGTTCTGCTGTATGTAATTTCAAAGTACAAACTTACCTAGTAAAGTGTGACTATGATTTATGGAAGCTTGGATGATGTTAACATATCTGTTAAATGTACATAAGACCTGAAAATTAGGGAAAAATTGTAGTTAATTGAAATAAGAAGTATAAACACTAATTACTGAGGGAGAGTGCTGAAGACATTCCAGCAGCAAGGGTTTGTAGCGTTAATAGCTGGTTAATTAAAGGAAAAGTTGGATTTACAGAACAAATAATTACCTATAAATATAGCAACCACAACCTGACAATGCAGGGATGTTAGAGAAGCATGTCCAAATTTCATGAGACAGTTCTGTAATACAGGGCCATAACTAATCAACAGTGTTCTATACACAAAGCAACTATAATGCTGACTGCAATATAGGATATAATTACAAAAGTAATGTAGCTCAAGACCCAGAACCAAATATCAGACATTGGCTGTAAATACCTATGATCAAGACAACAGTGCATGCTAAGAGGTGTATGAATAAGAGCTTAATTAACTCGCTGAAAATTCTTGTCTTAAATGAAGTGCATCCAGTACCTCCAGGATGTGGTTTCGTTCATGATAAAGTCCAATGTAGCTCTGTAGCTTTGATACACCATCCTCTTCATCTGATTCAATCAGCCAACTGACCAAAATGCTTTCATCTTGTTCCTGTCCAAGTAGTTTCCATTCCTTCCCTTCTCCTGAAAATGTTTATAAACCAGAGGGTCTAAGCAGTTCAATACACCGTGTTTATAATTCCACAGAAACCGTGTGCAAATAGTAAGTTCTTCTTACATTTAATACAGTCAAAAACCTTCTTTTACTGTCTTGACATACTGAATAATCAATATAAAAATTATGGAAGCAAAGTGAAAATTACTCAATACTCAACAGGCATAATACACTTAATGCATAGACTCAATATGTAGTTAGATGGTAACAATAAAGAACAAAATGAAATAAGTACAGTTGTACAACTGTACAAAAACACAATTAACAAATACTATGTTAACCTAACTACTAACAACTACTAACAACCTATGTTTTGGATTTACTGAATTTGAAATAAATGAATGAATGAACTGTGTAAAGGTAAAACTATCCCTATAACAGGTTGGGGAGGTCCATACGATTGGGAGATGTTGAGGCTCCCACATTTTCTAGACAAGTGGCTCACGGGTGGGGGTGAGCTTGTCAGCGGCCGCCCTTTACACCCAGGAATATTCCTGGTAATCATTTCTGTTAAGAGGTTGTGTTGACCCCTTGGCCACAGAGAAGCTCAACTGAAAAATGACCTCATCAGGAATTGAATCCATGACCTACTGGCTTGTAGCACTGTGTCTCAACCATGCTACCATGTGCTCCAATTAAACACTACACGGAAATCAATACACTGACAAGAACCTAACAGACCTTAAAAAAACAGCAAGGTAACGTGGATTCAAAGGCACACCAAACCTGAACAACAGTAAAAAGTGGGTTACATTCACCCACACTGGTAATGGGGTCGGATACATAACAAAACTGTTAAAAAATGTTAACATACAAACTGCATTCAAAATCTGAAAACATAACAGAGAAACATATTCAAAAACTTGAACCTATCAGAAAAACAAGACCCTTACAGGAACAGAGGTATCTATCAAATTCAATGTAAATCTTACATAAAAATATATGCAGGCCAAACAGGAAGATCCCTCAATATCAGATACAAGGAACACATAAAAACAATCATATCTAACACATATAACTCAAAGTACTCAATTCTGATTCTTGTTGTATGCTGAAAATAGAATCGAGTAACTTTCTGATGATGAAGCAATGATCTACATGTACATCACCATCTGATGATGCATTTCAGAGATGTTTCACACACAGCATATGTTAATTTCAGTAAGATTTGCTGATTTCGAACTGAATTTTACACTCAGTGTGTCAGGTGGTAGTAATGGCACCACACAACACAGACCACAATTTCAGCTTTCATGTACAAAAATTTGATCACTGCAGCTTATAAAATATTATAATTTCAGGAATTTTCCTGTCACCCCATTCTCTTTCATATTTTGTTTTATTTTCTTGTCAGCAATTAGCACTAAAATTTTGTATTGATACTACTTGTCTTCCCTTGGGTATCAGTATAGTAAATTATATTATTATTAATAATAATAATTTATTTACATTCCATGGATCCTTAGATGGCTGGAAGACCAGTGGATATAGGAACAATCAATGACAACAAGAGAAGTCACATCAATTACATAAATAAGAATTAATTATACTTAATCCATCATAATTACATGTTATCCGAGACAAATCACAATGAGTAAATCATTAAACAGTTATGAAATATACTACTAGGTATCCAGTGTATATAACAGACCAAGATCATTAATTAATACTGAAGTTAAAATGATTCCTCCAATGTGTACAATTAATTTAAAAGTAGAAATCTTTTTAAAGCAGATCTAAATTGTTTCATGTCATAAGTTCTTTAAGCTAGAAGGAAGATGATGACATGACATGGCATGATACGACACATGATATGATATAATACAATATAATTCAATTCAATTCTTTATTATTTATGTGCTGTGCCAACAGCCACAAGGCCAATGACAGAAAGAGCACAGTGCAGATAATAGTAGTTACATACTGGACAAACACAACATAAAGTCAAAGGCTAATTAAAGGTAAACACTGGAGGAAAAACACATTAATGCATATAAATAATAATATTAATAATACAAATATTCAATACTTTATTATTTATGTGCTGAGCCAACAGCCGCGAGGCCAATTACAGACACAGTACAGTGTAGATAAAAGTAGTTACATACTGGACAAACACAACATAAATGCAAAGACTAATTAACTCTTTGACTGGCGCGAAGGGTATTTAAATCCCACCCCTGTCCTGGCAGGCCCTTTAAACCTTATGTCGGTAAAATGCATATAGTTACTTTTTCCTAAACAACTTCAACAAAAATTGGTTTTTAAAAACGAAATTTACAGGAACTAATTAAAATACAATATTTTATGCAATAAATGCCTTTCCATACCTCTTTATTAGTTTTTCTTCGTGTGATAAACATTGAAACATGAAAGTTTGCAGAGAGCCACACCACAGCCTGCACACATGATACTTGTTTCTTTTCTAACCTTGTGCTTAGCACTCACGCGACACTTTCTCAGGGCACCATTCTTCTTATTGTTACTGTTAGGAACATGGACCATTTTGTGAATTTTCAAGCCACCCTCTAGACGATTTGCTGGCTCTTTCACTGGTGGTCTTTTCAAGGTCGAGGGCGGAGGCGTGACTGCACTCTAGTCTGACGCAATAGATTCGTCATCCACTTCATTCCTTGACTTTTCTCCCTCTCCACACTGTTTGTTTGGTTCAGTCATTTTTCTACACAGTCCAATATAAAATCTTTGAATCTGTAATTTCTCTTCTTGTATTTTTCGTTTGTTGTGTTCTTTTTGAATAGAATGAAACTATTCAACCGCAAAGACATGTTTTGTCCATACCATGGGTGTGAAATAGGGGCCTAGTGGACAAATATTCTTCAATTTCAGGGCGTTTGTCGATTCCTGTCATGAACACAATTCCTAAGTATGTCCAGATTTCATCTGATGTGACATAATTGTAATTGTGTTTTCGAGAGTGAGGAGCTAACTCATGTGTGTTGAAGTGCTGGTGAGCATAGCGATTGGTTTCAGTTGTGATGTGATTTACCAAGTCGTCATCCAGAAAAAATTTTAATCCATGAAAAGGGATGCATTTTATGTGTTATATCAATTTTGATCCCGAAACTATTAGCAAATGGAAATATTGGGGGTACAATGTCTCCGTACGTTCATGAGATGGGCGTGTCAGGCACCGCACTCGTGGTAGGTAAATGTTCATGATTACTGTCTTGTGGATCACTGTCTATCACTGTATTATTGTCACTATCAACTTCATTCAATTCAGGAATCATTATTTCATCGCCACTATCATCATCAGAACAAATCTCGTTCACATTTTCCAGCTGGTCTGTAGGAACACAAAGACACTTCCTGCAAGAACCCATGGTGAAACTGAATGAATGTGAAATATTTTCAGACCTTTTCCTTCTCAGAGGGTTCTGACAGTAATAGAGATCCCCACAAAGTTTACAAGGGTTCTTCACAAACATGCACAAAAACTATCATATATATGTCTTTGGTTGATGAGTGCCAAGAGAGCAAAGAAGGGAAGAGATTGTCAAAGCGTTAAAACACGCCAACGCCAGGGAACGGCTGGCATCGTCTGGGCGTTAAAACACGCCCGCGCCAGTCAAAAAGTTAAAGGGAAGTATTGGAGGAAAACACATCAATGCATATAAGGAAATGAACAAACAAAATAATAATATAATATATGTTCCTGTCTGGAATACTGTTAAATTACACACTGGATAATGGAAATTTTTTTATCATTATCATTTATTTACATGTCAAAAATCCTTTACAAGGTCGTAAGGCTAAGGATATAGACAATAGTCCAATATAACAATTAAATATAATAATTACAAAAAATATAATACGTGTTAAAATATTTATGTAAACATAATTTTAAAATTATAAAATTTGTAATTTAACTTTTCATTAATTAAGTATTTAATCCCAATAAAATCAATTATCAATCTTCTTAACCGTGTAATCAAAAAATTCATCAATACCATAAAATGAATGTAAATGGAGAAATTGTAATAGTGCTTTCTTGAATCGATTTTTGTTTTTGGATAACTGTTTTATTTTGCGTGGAAGACTATTATAAATTTTGATTCCAAAATACTGTGGACCTTTCTGAAATGCTGTTAGATTTGACGAGGGGAGATGCAAATTTGAACTATTTCTTGTTACAGTTGTATATATATCTGAATTTTCTGCAAATAAATCCATATTATTAACTACAAACATCATCAAAGAATATATATATTGAGAGGGCAGTGGTAATATTTTCAATTGGCTAAAGATTTTTTTACATGAATCTCTGTTTCCAGCTCCCACCATTATTCGAACAGCTCTCTTCTGCAATTTAAAAACGCACATACTGAGAGTTCTATTTCCCAAAAAAATCAAACTGTAAGACATTACTGAGTGGAAAAAGGCGTAATACACCATTTTGAGGGCATCAATATTGTTATTGTGTCTTGTATTAATGCTATGAATCTCTGTTAGATTTAAATTGTTCCGTTTTTAACCATTAATAACAAGAGAGAAAATACGTACTGTGATTGGAGGACCAATATTTTCAGTTACTTACACAATTCCCTGCAAGAGTTTCTACTTCGAGAATTAGTAATAATTAGTAATAATTACCCTTTTCTGTAGCCTAAAAATATGAATACTACAGCGAGAATTGCCCCAGAAAATTATACTATAAATTATAGCAGAATGAAAATATGAGAAATAAATAATTCTTATTGTTTCCTGTGACATATTAGGTTTAACAGCCCGACTGCACAACAGAGAGAACCTAATTTAGACATAAGCCAGTCGACATGTCCTTTCAATGACAACATATTATCAATAATTAATCCAAGAAATTTGGTATTAGGAGATTTAGCTATCTGATTGTTACCACAGTCAATATGCATATCTCCTGCCCGGCTATTCTTGGTCAAAAATTGTAAAAAATATGTTTTATCAAAGTTTGGTGTCAATAAATTAGCTTTAAACAAATCATTTATGTTTATAAATGTTTCAATAATGTTTTCATAATCTAATGAGCTGTAATTCATGATAATTATGCTGGTGTCATCTGCAAAAGGAACAGGTCTGGATTTACTAGTTTGGCAAGACATTTATATACAAAAGACTCAATATGGGTCCCAGAATCGATCCCTGGGGAATTATTATCAGAAGACTATTGTAAAAATCTGTTAATAGGACTGCCAATGATTCTCAGATGATCTTGGTTTGATTCAGCACTTGTTCTGTTAGTATTATTTAATCTGTCTAAACTATTAGTCCTGAAGTCACTAGGTGAACCAAAAATCTCTCACCATAAAAATAAAATAAAAAAAGATAAGTGTTGGACAAATGTGGGATATATGAACTTGTAGAGGATAGGTGTTAGGTGGTACCAATGTAAAACAGTAAATGAAGCAAATTATATGGACCATAGAAATTAGGAATCTAGGTGCTCAAGTCATCAAAATTTCAAAGGCTGAATGTTGCATCTAAGGTGGATTCATAGTGTTCAACTATAGGTCACAGGAGTGCATACTGTTGTTAACATGTACATAAATGTGATCAGTCCATGTTGTTTGAAAATAATCTTAATTCAAGATATTGACTGCACATTCCTAATACAGTATTTGTCATGTTATTAAATTGATTTCTTGTTCTGAGGTTACATGCTTCTCCCTTTTCTTTTTTTATTTGGAAGACAGTTTGTGTAAATGGGGTCCAAAATTGTAATTTTGGCCTTCTTTTACTAATTTTGATAAGTGCAGATGCGATCAATAATGCATTTAGAATCTACAACAGGCCACATGCATATCATCTGGGCCTAGAATTCTTCCTCTTTGTTGGTAGAAAATGGGGGTTCGACGTTTAGAATTTATTTGACACATGTTTACCAAGGGTTAAACTAAAAACTTATTTTGTATCATCCAGTATATTTGTGCAGTACAATGCATTTTATGAACCATTCATAACTCAATTAACGTCTCTGCTTCAGAGATGGCTGTAATAATACCCCGAAGCACCCCTCCCTACAGAAATATATATATATATATTTTTTTTTTCCCCATTGGCGTTACAGCCCTCATTTGGGCCTAGGCCTACGTCCATGAAAGGCTCCGTCTACAGAAATTTAGCTGACAAAAAATGAAACTAACATACTCCCACACCCACTTCTATGGGGTTACATTTTTTTATGTACGGAAGCACGTGCTGCTATCTACAAACAGCATTACAGTTTTCGATTTAGGGCTGCAGGCGCTGTAGGTTAAGCACGCGGATTTCAATTACTTCTGCCGTACAGTAGGCTGGCACACGGGTAGTGGATGTGGCGCTAATTACTGTATCTTCGTGAAGCAGTATCATGTATGATCATGTATATGATTTATTTTTTATCATAACGTTGATGTGAAGCAACACTGAACACACTATGTTACACAGTTCAAAACATCGTAATTATACAAAATATTTACACCACGGTTAGTGTGGGCCTGTGCTAAAGCAGAAAACATTTGCACTATTACAAGATTCACTAAAATTGTACTTAAATGCTAAATCGTTACCTCTGAATGACTGGGATTGTAAAATCCCGCACAATTTCCTTCCTAAGTTGTCTAGTGTGACCATGTCTTTATGACGAAGGTCATTTAAAAGGTTTCATTGCATTTAAAATATAGTCCCTTCAAACCACGATATCGATAACTTCACAATTTATGATCCGAAGGGGTTCGAGCTTCGGCGTCATTCACTGCCATTCATATTCTGGAAAAACTGTAAATGTCTCTTCTAAAGTTTGTTTTTGATACTCTTTTGACTCTAGCTTTTTGGGAACGTTATTCCTTGTTTTCTGAATTCGTGTCCGATACATCATGCTATTGAATAAAGAAGCATTTTATGTTCATATATAGTAAACGTTTCGTCTGTTATCTTCAAGAATTCAAGAACGAATATTGGGAGAGGTTTGGGGCAAAATAATCATGTGAATTTACATCCGTACTGCAAAGCATACAAGTTATCACAACAGAACCTTCTTCTGCTTGAACATTTAGAGATTGGATATAGATTAAATTGTATTTCATTAAGTCCTTTGAAATATACTTTAGAGTGCTTTAAAAATAACATATTCCGTTGTTAGAGCAATAAATGGCAGTATGAATAGATTTCATTGATTCATAAATCTATAGGAACTCCTGCACATGACAGCACAATACATGCAACGCACAGATTATTTCATGATCCGTGAATATTGGTAGGCAGGAATCACTAAAGAGATCCGTGGGACTAATTCAATACGGTAAAGCAAGGAAGTCGTAGTTAGTAATTTGTAAACGCGGACGTCAAATAAATGAGTGGCGTGCCATCATTACGAGAATAATATCAGAAATTTCCTCAACGTTTACATTCTCATTCTAGTTAATGTTTACTATTATATGTCTTTGAGGACGTACTGTAGTATACCTTCAACATTTTCGCCTGCAGGGTACAAATTCGTTAGACCAATACCTGAACGATAAATTACCATATTTCATAGATCGTACAATAACGAGCTCATTATCTCATTATGTTCTAACCAGTCGTTCTCAGGGATTAAAGCAGTCTTTCTTGGTAATGCTGGTCATGCTCGTCATGCTGGTACACCTGGTACTGGTCCTGTTGCAGTTGTGAAAATGGTAGCAGTGGTAGCAGTCGCCGAAAGTGAAATGTGTTTTTGCGTATTTCATGATGTTCGTGGTGTACGTTAATTGCGAAAGACAACGTTTTATTAAAATTCTGTACCCTTAAAATGCATTCTATCGAAGAATTGGGAACAAACGTTCCCGCATTTCTGGTCAAACTCTGGAAGATAGTCGAAGATCCAGAAACCAACGACTTGATATGTTGGAGTGCGGTATGTGACCAAAAGTATTACCGAGATATTACTTTGTCATTGAACCACGCATTCACCAAGCTTGCATCTAGTAATGTTTTTTATATACTTTAGACCAGAATTGTTGTTGAAATGTAAAGGTGACACTTGAAACTTTGAACATGTTTCTGAATTTTAATTATGCTTGCCATTGAAGTACGGAGTTACGTTAGTAGCTCTGTAAGTATGGCATCTATTCAGTATCACAAAAGACTTAGAATCTGTCAGAGCCCTTCTCATTTACGTGCATTTTATTGGAATTACAAAGTTGTAATCCTCAGGAACTAGAATTGTAGAACGGTAGAACTTAGACTGTCACTGTAACTCAGTATTCAAGCAGTTCACTATTTCTTTGGGTCCAAGATTTCCTGAGGATTCTCCTTCGACGCCATGCCACTGTTGCACGGCGGGACACCTTCCTGCGAGAGATAGTTTGCGAGTTGTTAGATAAGGGCGTGGTGAAGAAAAGTTTTTCCTTTTCAGGACGAATCCTTGTGTCCTCCTCTCACGTTGAAGTCCTCGTGCTTTCTTGGACACATCTTTATGGTGGCTTGTGCGTGACTCTAACTGATCTCCTTGGAGTCTCAGTCTCTTGCGTTGTGTCACATTTGCTTGAATGTGGGCAGTTCCCACATCAAAGAATATAAATGTAACAAAAAAACATAGTTGCCAAGAAGCAGATTTAAATAGATATTTAGACGACTTGACATTCTGCATTTTATCATACAAACTCAACAGGCAGTCTGTACTGAATTGACACCATACCCACTGTCCTTTGCTGTTTACTTTGATACCAACTTCTGCATTTATAACTTTATATAAAAACTTTCTTGTTGACACTCTATGTGCACTTCAGTACAGAAAGTGTCATTAAATGATTAAATGTAATTTGGAACAATCTTTAATTCAGGAAAGGAGAGAAGTGCTTATGTAGTATGTTAGTTGTATCCAAAATGGTATAAAAGATTAATTTAAATTTCATTTCATTTCATTTATTTCGTGTCCATGGATCATTATACNTTAGTTCGGCACTTTACTAGGCACAAAGTGTCTAGTAAAGTTCAGGTAAATAATTGTGTTATGCATTTTAAATTTACTCTGGAATTGTTCTTCATCAGCCAAATAGCACACTGCATGACATGGCAAGTAGGCATATAGCAAGCCACAGTGTTGGATCAAGGACAGTGAAGTGTTTGTTTACTGGAAGTAATGTTGTTTTATAAATTTCCACTAGTTGTATAAATGCCAAGTGTAATGATCGTGTATTCTTATTACTAGTCTCAGTGTTATGCCTCTTCTGTATTTATTTCTGTGAAATATATTGGCATTGCTTTTTATGTGCATGAGTATGAACTATGAACCTTTGCTAAAGAATTAATTGATGATGATTATGGTTATGAGACATGAGGAGAAGAATTTGTCAGATCCTGGGCACAGAATATGGTGTGTGACACTATGCTGGATATTGTCATGTTTTCTGAGTTATATTTTATCTAAATGATTTATTTCTTCCATATTTTTTAACATTTTATAAATGTCAGCTTTTCTTGTTTTTTATGTGTTTCCTCTTATGTCTTTCATTTTATAATTGTAAAGATCTGAGACCTTATTAGAATGATATAAAGTTGTGGTATTATTTGATATTCCCAAAAATGTTTGGCTGTCCACGTGAAATTGTTTACTGACTATAGATGATTTTGAAAATTTATAAAACAGGGTAACAGTGTGCAGATCTAACTCAGAAGGCTGACTTTGGTGCAAAGTATGTTGCATACAGTTGTAAAACTTTACAAGATTTTGTATATTGGCCATTGTAATTCTCTTCTTTAATTCATTGTGAAAAGAAGTGGATTATTTCACATTGGGCAGCACGTAGCGTGTAAGCTTCTTTCGTGGTAGCTGTTTGATTTATGGAGTCATACTGAAGATAAATTGTAATGTGTATAAGCTCTGTCTCTTTGATTTGAGTGACTGAATTGCTTCATGGTAGGTCTCAGATGATCACACTGTACTGTTGAACTAGAAATAAGGCTTGTTCCTTAAAAGTACATAATTCTAGAAAATGATACAAAGTATTTTTGTTTCACTGTTTGCAGGGTGGGACAAGTTTCGTGATTAGAAACCAGGCTCGTTTTTCCAGAGAACTTTTGCCTATGTATTATAAACACAACAATATGGCCAGCTTTGTGAGGCAGCTAAACATGTGTAAGTGAAATTATATTTGTTGTCCTTAATTGCCCCACATTCTTGATTATATGTACATATATTTCCTGTTCATATAATCAGAGATGAAATATGCAATATAAAATGGTTTTCACATTCAATATTTATTTCAGCGTTTGATGATGAGATGTTTATTGTTAAGGCATGTTTAATATGACTTCAACCAAAAGTAGAACATTTAGTTTTGAATGACAGGTAGGGGTTACTGAAAATATTCTTAGTTATGAAGAATGCCATCTTCTGGGATGCAGCGCTTTGTAGATCTTGTGTGAACCGACATTTTGGAGTAATATATCACCTCCATATTCAGGGTAGAAAAATCCGCGAGGAAAGAATCAGCATGGGCAGGTGGCTGCACACAAGATCTACACGGCGCCACATCCCAGAAGATGGCATTTTTCATAGTCATGACCATGAAAACCTCAAATCTTACATATTCTTAGTTATATTTTACGCAAGGTAATGTAGAAAATATTTGATTTCTGAAGCATAATATATTTTTAGTAGCTGATTGTATTCTCAGGTAGTATTAATCACTCACATGTGTTACAAAGGAGTGCATTTTGCATTGTTGTGGTATAAGTCTGCATACTTATATCATGAATTTTATAATGCCGCCATGATGTAGAGATCAGTAGTTCGTTTTGAAATTGTTTCAGGTTGCAGCTGTTCTAATTATGCAGGCATATGTTTCTTCTTTGGGAAATGCATACATGAAATGTACCTAATGAGTGCTTTGTAACATGCTAGGCTGTTTTTCTCTGCCATTAGAATACAGAATTTGATTTCTTTTAGATGGTTTCCACAAAGTTATGTCAATTGAAGCTGGTGGGCTTAAAGTAGACAAGGATGAGATGGAGTTTGCTCATCAGTTTTTCCTAATGGAACATCCATATCTTCTGGAGCATATCAAGCGCAAGGTAAGAGGTTTGGATGTATTACAAGGATATGCTGTGTAAAAGTAAGAATTATTATTATTATTATTATTATTATTATTATTTCTTCCTTATTCCATTACATCTACAATAGGCAAAAGCCTTAGATACAGAATTGTGTCAATTTATCTTGCTAATACTCTTAAGCAGTTGTCAAGAAGACATAAAATAAGACAATGCATGTTTACATCATAATACAATTTCTCTCTAGCATAATACATTAAAATTTAAGATAAAAGTTTCCATCAAAGGTAACAGAATATTTTAAACATATATAACAAATCCAAGATATAAAAACATTACATTTATAAAAATACAAAATTACAATTCCATGATGACCATACATCACACGTCCCCAGTCCAATAAAACATATAATCAGGCCTCACACAGACAGCCCAAGCTGTCAGGACAACACACACAGGTGGCGGAAAAACCACTGTGAAACCCACAACTTGCCACTCCACACATATTGGCAAGCCATATCATCCAGACAGTTTATTTTATCTTGTCAATGCTATCAAGCAACTGTTAAAAAGACCTATTGTATATGACAAGTTTGTCACATCACATACAACTACTTTCTAGTACAGTACACTAAAATTGTCATTTAAAATAAAATTTTAAGATCAAACCTTCCGTCAGAGTAACAGAATATTTTAGTCATATAGGTTTAACATATACAACATATTTATGGATGTTCAACTGAAGTCTCACCATAGCCAGAATATAGTATTTTCACGATTTACTGACTAGATGCAGGGTTCAGATTGATAATTTAATTTATCGGATGCCAATTACTTTTCACTGCAGTTAGTTATTACAGTACTTCACAGTCTACAAATAAATAGAGTATATTTTGAGTCTTCCCAGTTAGCTGCATCTTCATATACTTGTTGATTGGTTACAGCCTCTAACAGTGGGGATTTTCCCAAATGTTTTTGTACTTGATGGCTACTGCACTGGGTCAGGTCAGTTTGGTTTGTACAAGTTGTTGCTGGTCCTCACCAGCACAGTCATTCTTGGTAACAAGTCCTGTGGGGATGACAGCCATATTTTACTTGGTCATGACTCTGTGAGTCGCTTGGTTCTCTTTATGTAGCATTGTATTGGACTGATTAGAAAACATCACCCCCAGCAGTTTCTTTACTGTTGTGTGCATATTTGTTGCTGTGGAAACATGTTTTAACAAACTGTTGCATAGCATTGGACACTTCATGATGCATCTCTGACCCCACAGTTGTGTCTTCTACGTGTAATGTTAAGTATAGCATTCCGTCTTTAGTCAGTCTCAATACCATGGTGTAGTTTTCTATTGGATGGAGTCGAGTGGCTACCTTTACCCCAGAGAAGGAACTTCTGATACCCATTTTATGTGGATGGGTGACGGTGGTGGGGGGTTGGGTAGGCCACAGACGTGGTGGTGAATTGAAAAATGGTAAAGCTTCTTCTGGGAATTGAACCTTAATCATTATGTTTCAAACTACAGGTTGTATGATAAGACAGTATCTTTTCAGATACTTGTAAGTTATTTGATTCTTACTCAGTTCATTGAAGCAAACTGCCAGTAAAGAGTACTGAAGGTTTCATGCCCCTGGTTTGCACATAACTTCTTCATTTGCAACATATTTCCTGAATTGAACTGGTATGTTTGCCAGTGCTGCTCACAGTATATTTACAAAAGTGGTATTCAGAATGGTGGTTAGCCTGTTTTCCAGTTCAGCTATGTTTCCAGGTTTTGTGGGATAACATTTTTCCTTTGCCGACCCTCACAGGAAGAAATCGCAGAATGTTCAACTGTACGGAGACCATCTATGAACACTTTGTCTTCTAGTCCACCTGCCAGGAAAATGTTAATGCCCCCATCTTGCACAGTGTGAAGAGATTTTAGTGTTACCACACTGAGAGATGACTGGACGTACTCATAATTTAACATTTCAAGCATTCATTCACTGTCTTGAAAGATGCTGGGTCAAATCAGTTTTCCATACTACAATGTCACATACCTGCTCAAATTCCCTTTTGCCTAATAATGCCATTTGTGCCGATTGACAGAACCACCAATGTGAAATACTGCCTTGTTATTCCACAGAATATTCTCGAGCGACTATGGCTAATTATACCGATCCAAAAAGGGTATGGTATGGAATGGAAGGCAAATGCATTTATTGTGTAGAAAAGAATATTGTATCTTACGAACTCTTGTTCTCATATACATTGATTGCACAAAAGAATCTTGGTGTAATTTATGTAATAACAGCTCATTATTTTATAGGTTACCATAATATTTTTCTGCTTAATTTCTGCCTATAATTTTAACAGTTATTATTTACATGGTCTGACAAAGTTTGCGAACTCATCATGGTAAAAGTGATGCATACCTCATTGCTGAATATCACTGTGGTCACCTTCAAAGTACTCCCCTTGGGAAGCTATGCACCGATACCAGCATCTAGTCCACCCTTCAAAACAATTTTGGAATTGGTTTTGTTGAATCTTCAGAGCTGCCACTGTGTTACTCCTGATGTCATCAGTGTCATCAAAATGTCTTCCTTTCAATATTTCCTTTATCTTCAGGAATAGAAAAAGGTCGCTGAGGACTAGAGCCGGTGAATAGGGAGGGTGTCCTAGCACAGTTATTTGTTTACTAGCTGAAAGCTCCCTCACTGACAATGTTGCGTGAGCAGGTCCATTGTTGTGATGCAAGATCCATGAGTTGTTGGCAAAAAGTTCGGGTTGTTTTCTGTCTAACTTTTTCATGCAGCCTTTCACTTCTTCCAAATAGTAAACTTGGTTGACCATACTGAGGTTTCTATCCACTGCTGCCACAGCAAGCACAATATGGCAAGTTTGCGAACTTTATTGTCAGACCTCATATGATCTGTCGTAGATACCTACAAGCAAGGTGGAGGAAGGACGCACAGGCACAAAACCTGAATTGATGAACAAGGTCTTGGCAGATGTGACAAGCATGAAGGGGCGACAGGATTCTTTAGACTCACAGCTTAGTACTATGAAACGGGAAAATGAAGTTCTGTGGCGTGAAGTTGCAATCCTCCGAGAGAAACACAGGAAGCAACAGCAGATTGTCAACAAGGTTAGTTATCATTAATGATTTTATATTGAATTTATTTACTTTGAACTTAATTGACTCAGTTTATTGAAAGTGGAAAGAAGTGAAATGAGGTTGTGATATGCCCTTTCATAAAAGTATAATTGTTTGTTTTTATTGTTTGAACCTATATGTACACTGTGAGATAATGTTCTCCAGTTCAGATATAAATGTCATAACTCTGCCATGCCTAAAGCAGCAGAGCTCAGTAAAGTCAACTGCCCTATGTCACATTTAGCGTACTAAAATGTGATGTGAAAGGCATTTAAAGTGATTCTATCATCAGAATGCAGTGGCTTTGAATTGTGCGGCAGAGGGTTAAATAAACTAGTAGCTGGTGATAATCCTATTTTGGGATGTTGCAGAGGGTGGAAGTGGGCTGTTTTGCCATTGTTTTAGAGGATCTAACTGCCTCAGTGTTCAGGGTGGAAGTATAAGCTGAGAGGACAAGTGGTACATGATATGTAGGGAGGAAAGAGAAGGGTGAGGGTTATGCAGAATAAAAGGGACTGTTTGACAAAGGGGCAAGCTGTCGAGAAGTACAGGAAGAAGCAAGGTATATGGAAGAGGTTATAATTGATTAAATAAATCACTACATGGATAAGCAGAACAAAGGATTGAGTAAGGGAGGGATGTACAGTTTATAGTTCCAGGAGGAGAATCGTGACGGTCTATTCACATTCAGTCCTCTTTATGTTTCTTGCTGGTGTGTTCTTTGATAGAACAGGTTTTTGAAGGCACACAAGTTCCCATTGGCTTGTGCATAGCCCTGGCTTTCATGTTCACTCTCTGTATATCATGTACTGTTTTCCAGCTCAACTTTCACTTCAGCCCTAAAGATGGAGCAGGTTTCTTCAAATCTTTAGCAACACAGCCCACTTCCAAATGGTGCGGTCACCCCAAAACAGGATCTGTTATTACCTTTGAATAACTGTGACAACCTAGAATCAGTGAAACCAGTAGCTAAAAATTTTCTTGTGCAATATGTATTGATTGCAACATTCACAAGAAAATGTAATTTCTTTCATATGTATGAGGGAGAGTCAGTAAATATGTCACAAATGGATATAAAATGTTAAAACATCATATTCAAACCTGGAAAAAACATTTATTTCTCGACATATCCTCCACCAACATTTATGACTTGTCCCATCTCTTTGCCAATGCGTTGAAAACCACAGCATAGAAGTCTTTTTGGCTGTTTTCTGAGTCACTTCTGCACCTCTCTTTCAGCTTCTTCATCACCAGCGAAACTTTTGCCATATTTCTCAACCCCATTGTGAACTGCTTTATGTGGCAAACACTTCCCACCATGAATAAGAAACATTTCTCTATGAATATCCTTTGCACTGAGTCCTTTTGCCCCCCCCCCAAAAAAAAACACACACACACAACAACAACAACAGAACGCTGCCCTTTGGTACAATCCTAAAGCACATTTGCCATTTTGGCTACTGAAACTAGCCTCTGAACATGTGCATGTGCATTTGCTACGTGGACTGTCATGAAGCTGGACTGTACAGCTACATTCTACTACACATAGCCTATTACGTCCATTTGTGATCTGTTTACTGACTCCCTCATAGTGGAAAACTTATACAGTTAAAACTTCACAGTATGAGAATTCTTCATAAATAGGTTTATAAGAACTTGATTATTCTATCAGGTTTATATTAATAACATAAGTTCATAAACACTGTTTAATTCATATTAAAAGTGAGTTTGTATATGTATGAAGTTTAATAGGGAGGATGGGATGGTATACATTGGATTTATCTGGCTCAGGATAGGGACCAGTGGAAGTCTCTTGTGAACATGGCAATGAACCTTAGGGTTCCATGAAATGCTGGAAAATTCTTTAGTAGCTGCAGATTTGGCTTCTCCCCAAGAAGGGCTCAGCTCCATAAGTAAGTAATGAAGTTTAATAGTTTTGCTTCATCCATTTGCCACATATGTTACAGAAATATCTGAAATAGCCCATTTCTTGGATATCTTGTAGTTTGTTATAACTTGAAGAAAAGTGCCAGTTTTGCTGAAAAGGTATGTATGTCACATTTGAAGCATCTTGAATCTGCCTGAAATTTCCTGTACAGCAATTTATCCATAAGTTATATACGGCATTATACCTATTGTTTTAATACTTACTTACAGAGCTGAGCCCTTCTTGAGTGGCCAAATCTGCAACTACTCAAGAATTTCGCAGCATTTTATGGAACCCAAAGGTTCATTGCCATGTTCACAAGAGCCTCCCACGGCCAGATCAATCCAATCCATACCATCCCATCATATCTAAGATCAATTTTAATATTGTCCACCCACCTACGCCTTGGTCTTCCCAGTGGATTCTTTCCTTCTGGCTTTCCCACCAATATCCTATATGCATTCCTTTTCTCCCCCATTCTTGGTACATGCCCTGCCCACCTCATCCTCCTTGGCTTGGTCATTCTAATTATGCTTGGAGAAGAGTACAAGTTATGAAGCTCCTCATTATGCAGTTTCTTCCAACCTCCTGTTACTTTATCTCTCTTCGGTCCAAATATTCTCAAATACCCTCAGTCTGTGTTCCTCCCTTAATGTCAGAGACCAAGTTTCATGCCCATGCAGAACCACAGGCAAAATTATCGTTTTGTATATTCTGATTTTTATGTTTTTTGGACAGCAGGCAAGAAGGCAAAAGGTTCTGGACTGAATTGTAGCAAGCATTACCCGAGTTCAATCTCCTCTTAATTTCCTCCTCAATCAGGTTTTGATTTGTTATTGTCATTCCCAAATATCTGAACTGTGCCACATTTTCAAAACATCTGTTTTCTGTCATTATGTCATTATTTTGCCCTGCATTTTGATGACGAGACAGCAACATATACTTAGTTTTCTCTGTGTTTACTTCTAGACCAACCTCCTTACTTGTGTCAGTTAAACTTTGTGTGTTTTTCTTCATGGTATCTATATTATCGCCCAGTAGGTTCACATAATTGGCATAGACCAACAGCTGATGTGTCCCATTTAATTTCAGTCCCACCTGGTTTTCCTGGANTACTTTATCTCTCTTCGGTCCAAATATTCTCAAATACCCTCAGTCTGTGTTCCTCCCTTAATGTCAGAGACCAAGTTTCATGCCCATGCAGAACCACAGGCAAAATTATCGTTTTGTATATTCTGATTTTTATGTTTTTTGGACAGCAGGCAAGAAGGCAAAAGGTTCTGGACTGAATTGTAGCAAGCATTACCCGAGTTCAATCTCCTCTTAATTTCCTCCTCAATCAGGTTTTGATTTGTTATTGTCATTCCCAAATATCTGAACTGTGCCACATTTTCAAAACATCTGTTTTCTGTCATTATGTCATTATTTTGCCCTGCATTTTGATGACGAGACAGCAACATATACTTAGTTTTCTCTGTGTTTACTTCTAGACCAACCTCCTTACTTGTGTCAGTTAAACTTTGTGTGTTTTTCTTCATGGTATCTATATTATCGCCCAGTAGGTTCACATAATTGGCATAGACCAACAGCTGATGTGTCCCATTTAATTTCAGTCCCACCTGGTTTTCCTGGACCTTCCTAATGGCATATTCTAAAGCAAAGTTAAAAAGGAGTGGCAATAAAGCATCTCCTTGTCTTAGATCATTCTGGATAGGAAATTTATCTGAAATGTTTACCTGTATGGACTTTATTATAAGTTTTGTTTAACTAGTTTCATTGGTATCCCAAACTCTTATCAAAATATTGTACAATACTTACCTCCTAACCGAATCATAGGCTTTCTTGAAGTATACAAATAACTGTTGTACTGTCTCATTGTACTCCTATTTTTTCTCCAATATCTGAGGAATGCAAAAGATCTGATCTGTAGTTGATCTGTTATGTCAAAACCCACGCACTGTATTAATAGAAAACTTATTAATTTTCCCTCTCTACATGTTTAACTGTATGCAGTCATCATCACATGAAACACAAACAGATGATTTGCTAAAACATATATAGACTGATTTTTTGTTATTAAAATGTAATTCTATATAAAGTGTAAAATAGATAAAATATACAATTTCTTTATTAAAACCGTCAGAACACAACAATATTAAGGTCAGTGCCTAGTTTGGCTCTGCTGCATGTTTCGGCTATTAATAGCCATCATCAGGCAAATACATGGCTAACATATATACACCACTGAACTGCAGTACTAATAAAATTGGATACAATAATATTAATTATATTAAAATACTTGGCATAAAAATACAATAAATTAGATTATATAAAACAAAAGTTATAATATAAAACAAGAATAAAATTCGAATGATGTTTTACATCATCGAGTCAGTGGTTGGTTTTTGTGATTTTGTTGTGTTCCCACGGACAAATTGGAGTATTCTGTATTTTGTATATATATAATAAATTGTTTTGAAGGCTCATGATGTAGATGTAGTAATATTAATGTTAATTATTTAGTCGGTGCCTCATCTTACACGCAAAGTATTATCCGTTCTGTAGGGAATATAAACAACAGGCAAAGCCTTCACACGACAGACTTCCTGTGGCTGTCACTGAAAACTTTCTCACTGTTATTTAAACACATAAACAATGAAATCTGTTCTGTATGGAATCTATATAACCTCCGCACCAACCGTGCACAGAAAACCCAGTTCTTTTGTTGTAGAAGTATGTTTATCGTGATGTTGCATAGCAGCGATCTTGGCATGGACTGCATAGAAAGCCAGTCATGTGATAGCCAACTCGCAAACCCATTAGCATGCTGACTGTTGCCGTGCAACTAAGTATAAACATTCATCCTATTGTTGAGTGTGCTAATGCAACTGAAGGTTGTTTACAGGTCATTGCATAGAAACGCTCTGGCCAGTCGTGTTACAATGTAAAGTATTTTTTTGTCTAAAAATTTTGTGACAATGTTTGAAATAACTTGTGTTAATATGTTTCTTTGAGAGAGAGAGAGAGAGAAAGAAAGAATGAAAGAGAGTATGCATATGTCTCTGGACAAACTGGCAAAATGATTTTGACACGTTAGTGCAGGTTTATTGCACATTCAATAACATTATGCCATCCCATTTCTTAGCAGTGTCTAGTGTTGTTTTATTTTTCAAAGTTATGTTCATCTTGAAGCGCAAGACAGTCTGATTAATGGCAAGGATATTTTATTTTTATAATCTGATCTCAAACGTTTCCAATTATCCTTTTGGAGAATTTTTGTTCTGTTTATGCAGTTTCACCCTCTTTAATCTTTGTTTTGGAATGCAACTGGTTTAAATTGAGGAGTACCTGTATAAGATTTGTTTCTGAGTATTTATAGAATTTATTTTTCTTCTAGCTAATACAATTCCTGGTGACGATGGTGCAGTCCTCAAGGAATGGAGGAATTGGTATCAAAAGACGTTACCCATTAATGCTGAACGATACTTCACACCGTCCCAGCAAAATATCCCAACTTAGTGAAGAGCTTTGTAATCTCAATTCTGCCCCTGTAAGTGTATTTCAGCAAGTTGTCTTAAGAGAACTGAGCTGACTGGAGAGAATAGCAGATTATGTAGTGAGGAACTTGATATGATTATGGACCTCTGATATGCATTTCTGCGTAGTTTGGTAGATGGATACCATTGTTACTGACAAACTTGCTGCTATCATCAGAGGAGGATGAATGTAGCAGGATCCTCTGAAATATTGGTATATATGATATTTTGGTATAATTGTGAAGAACTGTTTGGTTACATGGTGTGTGATGGTCATTATGTGGTGACTTATGTATTTTGGAAGTAACATTTAGAGATTTCATGATTAAAATCATTCACATCCTTTTTGCTTGACTGAAGCAACAGCAATAGTATATGATACTTTTATAGACCATCACAACCCACCAGTTGAGGAATGTTACATTATTTGAAATGTTAAATAATTTTTGCAAGGTTGGAACTCTTAGAGTAATATGTTTTGCATTGAGTTTAAATTTACTACTTGCACAGTGGGTCTGAATTTCAGGCAACTCTCTCACCAGCTGGACCAGTGATTCATGAGCTAGATACAGTGGAACAAATTGAAGACTGTGAAGCAAACCCAGAGAAAACTTCTGAAAAGGAGACATTTCTTCCCTCAGAGTAGGTGTCATTGTGCACAGATTTATTTTTTAAGTCTCAGTAAGTGTAGTATCAGTTTCAAACCTTTACACCCGCACAAAACATATGATCTGATTATCAACGGTTCCTAGCATCAGTGAAACTTGTGAGGCCCATGACCATTTCATTAAGAGTTTTGTTAAGGCACATTCGTTTATAGTGTCTCTTCCAATTAATTGAATCATTGAAAGCCATAATTGTAAAACAGATTTCATCAAATTAATATTTATTTGATTCTTGTTTCAGTTTTTGCAATGTTGTGATTAGTGATGATGGCCGTCAAAACTCAACTGCCCACTTAAAACCCTATGAACCACCTCCAGGCAGTCCTGAGTCTATTACAAATAACCCGAACACCGAAGTATTTTTTGAGCTGGTAGACGAATGCCCACTGAGTCCAAGTTTGTTGTTAACTGCTTCACCAATGGATGTTACTCCAGCTATTGAGTCACCAAAATTGCCCAAGGGTAAGGGTAGGGCAAGGGCAAGCAGTGCTAAGAAAAGAAGGTTGAGAAGAACTAATTCAAATCCCAAAACATCTGTTAATGCTGCTTCAGCCACTCCCAGCACATTTACCAAAGCGTTGCCTACTGTAGCTCAAGAGGGGTGAGTAATTATTGTCAGTAAATTTTAGAATATTATGTTTACTATGTTGCATTTTCCATTGATACTATAACACATTCAAAGCCATCTGGAAATTTATCAGACTACCCATGCAGGTCAGTCATTCTGCCAAAGAGACAACAGTTTTTCAATTGTATGAAGGTTATTGGGAAAGTAAAGATACAAAGTCCAGAAAATGTTTGTAAAGTATTTTTTTTATTCACTTGTAGCACTTTTACAACACACCTTTATTTACTTTTCAACATTGTCACCATGGATTGCAATGCACTTAGTGATTGATTTATTTCAACTGTCTTCCAGTGCGTACACTCATCTATCTCCTCCTCTCACTCGCACTACATGTTTCGGCACAAAAGTGCCATCTTCAGGTGCTTATTCGATTTACGCTAAACTAGTTCATTGCATGCCTTGTCGTCTTCATATTAAAATAACTAAAATATATATTTATCATATATATTGATAAATGTTAAATGTTAAAAATATTAAAATTGTTCAGGATTTTTCATCCCTACGTCGTATCTCACTACGCGAGTCACACCTATCCTCTTCTGTTGGAGCACTCTTTCACTATCGTGTATGTATCTGTAACGTGAATTTGTTATTCATTAATACCGCGTTCCGTATTTTATTTATTACTTGTGGTAATAGGCACTTAGTGAGCCTAGGAACAAGATTTTTATTTCAGTGTCGTAGAAATTTCCTGCCTACTCTCTTAGCTATGTTATCACCTCATCATCATCTGAAAAAGTCTTTCCAACCAGAGTTTCTGTCAATTTAGAAAACAAATGATGGTCTCTTGGTGCAAGGTCTGGGCTGTGTGGTGAATGGGCCAGCACTTCCCACTTGAAGGACTGCAACAACCCCGTAGCCCAAGCAGTGTGCAGATGGGCGTTATCGTGTAGTAAGCAGACTCCTCACATCAGCATTCCTCTCTGCTTGTTTTGAATAGCCTGTCGCAGTTTCTTCAGTGTCTCACAATAAGCAGCAGCATTGATGGTGGCTCCCTGAGGCAAAAAATTGATGAGAAGTGGCCCCTTCCAGTCCCAGAAGATGGTTGCCATGTTTTTTGGTTTGATGGTGAGATTTTGAATTTGTTCGCTGTTAATGAGTGTGTGTGGGGCCATTGCATTGATTGTCACTTATTCTCAGGTGTGAGATGAGATACGCAAGTTTCATCTTCCATCACAGTATGGTCCAGAAAGTAATCACCTTGATCCTCATAACGCGAGGAATTCCTTGCGCCACAGCCACTCAATTTTTCTTGTGATCGTCTGTCAACATTTTTGGCACCCAGTGCACACACAATTTCTGATAACCTGATCTTTTTGTAACAGTTTCATGAAGAACAGTTCTTGACACTTCTGGATGTTGTTGATGAAGTTCATTGATGGTTTAATGTCTCTCGCGGATGGACTTCCATTCCTTATTTTATCATGAACATCACTTCTTCCCACTTCAAAGTCATGTCACCATTTTACCGCATTTTGTCTGTTCATAACATCTTCACCATAAACAGAAACAAGTTAGTGATGAATTTCAGCAGCAGTTTCTCTTCGTGCATGAAAAACTCAAATTACTGCACGAACCTCACATTTGGCAGGATTTTGAATCAACACAGCCTTTTTAAACTCACTGCTAGGACAATGTTACCGTGAGTGTGGCCAGTGAACTGTGCCTTGTCATAAGGTTCCTGTCTCACGTAGTAGCACTGCCATTTCTGGGGAAAAAAGAAATTCCTTACATTTTTATAGGACCTGTATCTTTATTTTCTGAATGTCCCTCATGCTTTTAAACATATCTTGAATTACAAATATTTAGTCCTTTATATATCTCTCATTTTGTGTGTGCTTTTTTTTGGCACCTTCTACCATGTGAAGCCTATAGTACGAGGGGTGTTCAAGTTCTAAGGTCTCCGATTTTTTTTCTCAGGACTGGGAGCAGATAGACGCATGCGGTTTAGTTTAAAATACTTGTGCACTCTTTGTGAATGTGTGACAGAGATGGCAGCACTCTACGGCACACAGAACTCTAGTGGTAGCAGCAAGAGTGAGGAGTGTTTTTGATACTTAAAATGGCGACGTTTTCGTTACAAGAACAGCGAGTAATCATTCGTTTTCTCCACTTGCGTGGTGCGACACCCATTGAAATTCATCGTCAGTTGAGTGAGACGTGTGGTGATGGTGTCATGAATGTGAAAAATGTGCGCTCGTGGGTGCGACAGTTCAAAGAAGGCCAAACGTCGTGTGACAACGAACCAAAACAATCTCGGCCTCGCACCAGCCGGTCTGACAACATGGTCAAGCGAGTTGAGAAAGTTGTTTTGGAGGATCGCCGATTGAGTGTGGAAAACATCACCTCCAAAGTCGGCATTTCCGTGGGATCTGCACAAAATCCTGCATGAAGACCTGCGAATGCGGAAAGTGTCCTCCAGGTGGGTTCCACGAATTTTGGCGGATGACCACAAGGCTGCACGCATGGCAATGACGAAGGCATGAATGGGACTTTCTTTTCATCAACTGTGACAATGGATGAGACATGGATGCCGTTTTTCAATCCGCTATTATATCAGCAATTTTCCAGTGGTCAAAACAGACTCCTACAGAAGCGTTCGCAGTGTCTATGGAATCATGGCGTCGACGTTGTGAAAAATGTGTACGGCTGCAGGGAGATTACGTTGAAAAGTGACAGAAGTTTCAAATTTTTTGTATGATTATTGTGTGAGAAAAAAAATCGGAGACCATAGAACTTGAACGCACAATGTACAAGAACCCTCATATGCAGTTCTTCACTACAGACATTTAATAGGGCAAAAGTTACATTGGAAATTTGGAAATTTTTAACTCTGGTGATGAATTTGTTGATCTACATTTCCTTCAAGAATCACTTTCCAAATAAAGTATTTTGGATAATGTAAGGTTTGTGTGATGTGTTAGTTTTGTATTGTGTGTTCTTCAGTGTGCTTGGGAAGACACATATACAAATTATCTGTCTCCTGTACATTTTCTGTGATTCTCAGCATATGCACTTGAAATGTTGATGTTTTTTGTCTTGAAATGAGAAGGTTTATACACTGATTATGGCAACAGCTTTTGTCATTAATTTTTAACCTGAAATGGCTTATTTGTATTAACAGTGCATATAAATATTTTAAGCTTAATTTTGTTATGTTATAGAGCTGATCTTCTAGACATGGTTCTGCCTACAACAGTTGATCTTGATACAAATATAAATAATGAATTGGTAACTGATGTTGAAGTTAGCGAGGCTTTATTGAATCCTGATTCTTTGGAATGTGCTACAAATGCAGCAATATCAGCCATCAGTAAAATGGCAAGCAAAAACAAGGCCTTGAAACCTTCAGAGTCCTTAGGCAGCAGAAGTATTTCTAAATCTTCACTAGATGGAATTTTGCCAGCATCAGATGTCACAAGTAAAAAACACACTAGTACAGATCTCTCTGAAAGTGCCATGTCAGATGGGGATGCCAGTAATATACTTGACACTAGTGACTTGATAAGATTTAAGCAGGCACCATCAACTTCAAGTGACAAGATTGGATCTCCATGTAACATGATCCTAGCCTGCACTGGAAATAATTCTGAAGAAAAGCGTTTCGACAGGTATGTCATTTTGCAATTTTTTTGTAATAATACTTTTTGGACTGTTTTTTACAATTGCAAATGCTGTTACAGCTCTACAGTAGGGGTCATAAAATAAGTTGAAGTATGATAATGATGAGGTAGGTGAAAAGATAACATGAAAGTCCATGTTTAATTAAGCATTTCATTTTTTATGATTCCATGTATAATTAAGCACAAAGATGATTTATCTTGATTTTAATTTTTATGTAGGAGTGAACTGGATTCACATGTGGACTCTGTGCAAAATGACCTGGACAGCCTAAGAGAACTTCTTAAAGGAGAGGGATACAGTTTGGATGCCAACACTTTGTTGGGGGTATGTCCTGCTATACCTGCCTTCGAGCAAGACTTCTTTAAGGTAGATTTATTTCATTCTCATGCCAGTCATATGTGATGGTGTTATTCTGGTACTGAGCATTTTAATATAGCAGATATAATGGTCAGCAGAATTTGAGGTTCACAAGAGGCCTGTCATTTGGGATATAGTGCTGATGTTTTCGAGCAACATGCCACCTCCATCTTTGCAGTCATGCATGAAAACAGCCATGCTTATTACCTGTTTGATGCTGGTCTCTAGCTTGGCTTAGTCTTCAACCCTGAAGATGGAGGTAATGTTCATCTGAAACACTGGGTGATTTTCAGTATACTATGTGGCATTATATCACAGAAGATAGGACTTTTCAAGACGTCTCAAGGTTATCAGAAACATTGGCCATTATTCCAGAACAGCATGCTAGTAATATTCACCAATAGTGTTTGTACTATGTGCCATGTAACTTGATGAATGTCAGTGTGCTGAATGGCCAGGCCTAAATACCTAGTAGTGGCTGTGGGAATTTTTGCCACTAATTCCAGATTTGCTCTGGGACCCACACACCCTCCTATTTGGCAAGTACCAGTAATTTATTTTGCTGTAGGATGAAGATGACTGGCATGTGAAGCTCACTACTTGCCTGTGTGTAATGCTAAGGTTAGTGTATGCACCCCCCTCCTTCCCCCCAGTTTGAAAGAAGTAGAGAAAGTGCAGGTGAAATTCATTTCAGTAGAAATTGTCTCACTGATACTCTGGTTTGGAGGCATTCATTGGGCTACAGCTAATGAATGCTATGAACATATTTATGCCTAATTCCAGTATGATGACTTTGATACCATTTTGCCATGTTCATTCATTCATTCATTCATTTATTTGCATTCTGTTAATCCATACAAGGTCAAACCAACCTATGGGATATAGAACCTGTCAAGATACAAATATAATATAAACATAAAATAATGATATATACATACATTCATAATGAGCACAATAAGGACATAAAGTAAAACACAGTATTGCATAACAGCAGTGTCACAAAACACATTTTGATGAAAGACACAAAGCAAAACACAGTATTGCACAACAGTGTCACAAAACACAGTTTGAACAAATACACAAGATAATAGTGAAGACAATGAAACATGAATGAATTGAACTTAACCTTTAAACGACTAAAGACACCGTATGTCGTCGCAGATATAAAGGCAGCGGTACGAATGACGCCATGTGGTGTCGCACAGTCCGCGTGTGCGGACGTTATTTTAAAATACATGTTTAAGGTAGAAAATAATGTCCTACTTATATAATTTTTGGCCACCATCTGCATGGAGTGTCTGTCTTCCCACCTGCGTCATCTGCTGGAATGTTGCCTTCGTGTGGAATTCTAAAAAAAATCCGGAAGTGCCGAGTCCGATTTCGCACTTCACGCACTTTCTCCTGACGATTTTTCGTTTCCCACGCGAAAAGAACACACGACACCTCAATTGCGAAGTAGAGGAATTCGGCCAGTGATGTGGTTTGGCCTTCTATAATCGAGATATCTCC